AGGATCTCTTTGCAGCCCTGTTGGGTACAGGCAGCATACATCACAAGAAGTTTAAGTTACCTGTACGTATATATTTGTCTAACTAAAATATTCCAACAACACCATTAGTTCAAAAACTAGCTTTGGCATGGCGAGAGAAATAATGCAATCCACGATTCTGCTTCTTTAGCTGGATGAGTTCCCTCCTTTTACACGTCTACATTCATCCATCTTCTGGCTCAGCCAACAGGACAGCTGTATCTCATAAACTTTGGTGTTTCTTTCACTTGTTAGAACATTAACAGCAGTTCAGGTACTTTATTTTGGCTTTTTTCTTTTTCTTCTCTCCCCTGTTTGCAACACAGAGTTCAGACGTGTTTCTTTACAATTAGGCACATTTTGTTAAATTAGGAAACCAATATGAGTTACAAAAAGTACATTTTCATGGCAGAATAATGACTTGATTTTTACTTTCATTTGTTTCCAATTTTCAGTTAAGTATCACCACGTTGGTAAGCTGCTGAAGGACGGGGAGGAACCCACTGTATACTCTGATGAAGAAGAAAAAGATACCCAAGATGCAAAGAAAAAGTAGAATGCAGTGAGGAACAGTCTATTTTTGTATCTTAAAGGATCATTTGTAACATTCCACTTCTGTTTCACAAGTTGCAGCAGCAACAATGCTTACAAAAGGTCCAGAATTACAATGAATTATGTTTCTCCTAAGCTTCCTCTTCAAATTCAGCAGTAAACTAGTACAGGTCTAATATCTGTCTTCCTCTGAAAGTGCATAATAGGAAGTATGCACCAAAAATGTCTGTGCAAAAGTAGACTGCAACTTTGGCAATAAAGGACTATTACTCTTTTTATTCTTTCACTATTAGGGTTGAAATCCAGACCTTTTCACTAACAACCTAACACTGTAGGCACAAGCATGAGAGTTAAGTCACAGAATCTGTGTGCAACAGATTCCACTGAATTTGATTAGTGTTGGCTTCTGCAGGATCTGGGCCTTGCACTGCAATCCCTTTAGAAAAGGGACTCTTTGTCCACATACTCATTTGTGGTGCAATATAATTCAGCATTATGTCAAATAATTTGGCTTTTTAGGAGCTAAACGGGGCCTTACAGATGAAACAACAACTGCTTTAAAAAAGCCAAGAGTTTTTGAGAAGTTAAATCACTTTTAGATACTTAGAAAATAAATAAGGACTGAAGAATACTTGATGTATTCAGTCACACAAAAGCATTAATATTCTGTGTTTACTTCTGAAGAACCTCTTAAGTGTTACTTAGATACTGACTGTAACTGAACATCCTTAAAAACTAGGTTCACTGTGAAGCATGACTTGGCAGGACTATCATTTGTTCACTTCTCTTCTTAGAAAAGCTCTTCAAAGAATTGTAATAAAATGAAATTAAACCAGGAAAAGCAGCTAGTGATGATTTTTAGGCCTAAAGGAAGACTTGCTGGTGTGTCATGATTAACAAGTGCTCTGTACAAGCAATTTAACTAGCAGAAAAACGATTGTGGTCAAGGTAACTCATGCAAGTTCCCTGTACAAAATAAATAATGTAGTGTAAGCCATTTCCATGTCAAGGCTTTTGTTGCTTTGGAATGTTGCTGCTAAAAGAAATGGCAGAATCTCATGCACAGCCAGCAATAGACCTGACCACTGATTGCTTTTATCTTGTTCGCTCTCTTAATCTGTCCATAATTACTGGGTTTGCTCCATCCATGTCATCCAGTCTCCTACCAAAATGGGCTAGATGCATGGATTTGACTAAGGAAAAATGTCAATGTGCTTCTTCATCCAAAATATATCTTCAAAATTTATCAGAAATTTTAAGGAGGTAACTGATGATTTGCTGATCTCTTATCAGTGTGCTGCCTTGTCCAGGTGGTTCTGCGTGGGTGCCGAGGGCTACAGTTCCCATTATTTGGTTGTTCTGGTTTCACTCTTCTGCTGAGTTGTTTCCAATTGGGAACATGGCCAGAATGGTGAGCACAGTCCTGAGTGGGACGCTACAAAGTAGGCAAAATTGTTCAGAAGTGGAGTGTATTGTGCAGCAGGAGCTTTCATAAACAAGGTGACACTATGTGTTCAAGTGCCTGAGACCAACTGCAGTGACAACCAATGACTCTCCATCAGTCCTAACACAGCCATGGGCTTTTTCCCTGTCAGTTACACTGGGCTTTCAAACGAGCAGTGCAGTTGTTTGAGCCAGATTGCTTGTATAGAGTTACTGTGTGAACTACCTAATGAAGGTCTAGAGACAAATGAAAGTCTTGTCATGACCTTTGTGATGCTGTTTTATTTTTAGAGACATTTATACTCTCTGCAAACTACTTCTAATGGTTTACCTCAAATCAGAAATGTGCTTTTATCTGTTTAAGGCAGAAAATAAAAGTCTTGCTTAAGGGTGGTGTTTCTTTTTATTTACTGCAATTGAAATTGATGGTTAATCGCCCCCAGTGTTACAAGTTTTATAGTCTTTCTCCAGTGTCTTCTATTATTCCATGACTGGACTGTTCAAGCTGAATGCCTCTAAATGCAGCTCTATGGCATATTATTTTTCTAACAGGATATGAAACATAGAACAAATTCACATCTATTTTACTGTTGCAAAAACAGAGTTAAGCATGAAAAAAACCTGAGTAACTGCTGACACTGGGCAAAAGCTGCTCTGGAAGACCACGCTGTAGTGGAGCGAGGCAGGGCTACAGCCTACCCTTCAGGGGGTCCAACACCAGCTCTTACGTTAGTCAGCAACATACCCCGAGGAACTGAACACCATTTTGAGAGCATATCTGTACCATACAATTTGATGCATCCTAAAGAATAGACAAACTAAACTGGCAGTAACACAGGACAAAGCTTAATGTTAAACACAGGTGCGTGAAGTTGCACCCTTCAGGGTAAGACCTTTTCAGAGAAAACCAGAATACTCATTGTGAAAGGGAAGGCATGTGTCATAAGAGCAGAGATTCCACAAACAGGCAGGCACACCTTTTCTGCTGAAGTGCTGGAGAAAATGGGTATCTGCTCATGTTTTCTATTGTTCGTTGCAACTTGATCCCTTCAGCAATGACTGGCTGCAGTGACTAAGCAAAAAGAACCATGCCAGTAGCTGAACAGTTTGTATATTAACCAAGGAGAGCACAACGAATAAGTGCAGAGACTGTCATGAATCTGCCTTGTGAAGTGTTGAAATACCAGTTATTCAGGTGTCGTGACAGCATACTTGAGCCCTGGCACAAAACACAGCAATCGAGCAGCATCTCATATCCAACCAGTTGTGGCAAACTGTCACCTGCACTGTAAAACTCAGAATTTCTTTCACCTGGACGCTGCTTATTCCGAATGCCCTCTGCTAGCTCTTACTTCAAGTTGTATGTACACACAGGTTAGTAACGAATGCTTTTGCTGGGAGTTACATGGTTTTACAGGAGGTGAAATAAATGGGGAGGCATTCCTACACAGTGTTCTATGTCCAGCATATGAAAAAGGCCATATACTATAAATGTATTCTTATTACACGTCAAGCAGGTGGACTGATACAATAATTGGTGTAATGTATTTCTGCTTCAGAAACCGTCTGTAGGACCGCGACTGGGATTTTGACTTTGGAATTCAGCATGAAGTACAACTGCCCACACAGCTCAGATAACAAAGCTCCAGATCAGGCAGCTCCCCACGGCTGATGGCACTGGCTCTGCTGGGGGCACCTTCCTTAGTTCTGCACGTGAAGTTAGAGCTGCTGGCAAGGCCTGCAGTCACAGGGCCCTATTTCACAGGGCTTACAAGTGTCATAAGAACAGTAAGCAGCGCTTCCACAAAACATATACATACCAGAAAAGCAGTAACCCACACAAGTTAAACCCCATCACCTCTTGAAACACCACCTCACTGTAACAGCATAAACCAAGCTCCAAGATTTGGAATTATACTAGGAATGTTACGTGCTCAACTATTTGAATGCTTTTTGCCTATTAAATGCTCAAATTATATCCACATCCCTTAACTTTCCTGTTAGGTAAAACATTTATTCCTGAAAGCAACTGAAATTTAATTTACTAAGCTAGAATTTGAAGGAGTTTTATGTATGCTTAAAGATTAGCCTTCAAGATAACCAACACAATTTTACAGAACAGTTCAGCGTGTGGGAAGATGGGGCCTGAGTTAAATGCACAGGAAGGAAAAGTGAGGGATTAGTACTAAATGTCTTAGGAACAGGTTCTAAGTAATCCCAACTCACAAAGAAAAAAGAAACACAAATTACATTTTGCTACAGAAGATACAATGGTGTCTGTTTTAAGCAAGCATTATTCACTAACAATGTTTTACACTGAATGAGGACTTGGAGACAAAGATCTGCTTTATCAATTCCAATCAATACAGGTGAACACCAGAAGCAATTACAGAACTGGTGCATTTATTTGTTTATACTGACTAGTGGGAAAACACATTGATAACATCCTAGGCATTTACACTGAAGGAAATCCATAGTTCTTCCCATAGATTAACAAACCCAAATACCTTCTCATCCCTAATTGAAAGGTCTGACATATGGGAAAAGGGCACTTACAGTGCAGAACTGACTGACAAGGGGAAATTCTGCCATCTTTTCTTTTCTATGCAACTAGTGCACAGAGAAGAGAACACAGCCTTGGTCCTGTTGGTGCAACTGAAACATTTCACAAATATATCAGCTGGTCTTCATTGTAACTGCATAAAACAGTAAAAAGGAAACTTAAAAGAGGCACGAATGTTTTCCACAATAGAAAATACTTTTGTCAAGAAAATAAGGTGTTTGGGGGAGGGGGTGGTTGCTTTTTAGGTAAAAGCAATTGGGTAACACAATTCTGAGTAGTCATTCGTGATCCTCAGAAGGCACTCAGCATCTGAACGTGTGAGCAGAGGCAACAGGCAGAACCTGGCAGAGTGTGGCTCAGATGCCTGCATGAATCACCAATACTGAGCACTGGGAGAAAACCAATCTACCACAAACAACTACAATTTTTTAAAAAATGATGATTTATTAGAGCAGAAGTTACAAATGTGGGTAATATGTTATATAAGGAAGGCAACATCATCACATTTACATACTGACACGTAATAAATTAAGCATACTAAAATGAAAGTTGAAATAATTAGTGTGTTGTGAGTAGAACTGGTCCCCTCTGTCTCTCTGTGGGACTTTGGCCCAGAGCAACTGTGACTGTCTGCTAAATACAGTCGTCTGAGTAAATGCAGATGTAACTCAAGCTCCCAGACTGAGTTTTCACATTTTTACTTCCATGCAGCAGGAATTGAACAGCATTTGACAATTCTTCTAGAAATTTTATGTAAGCTTAATTGTGCTAAATAGATATCTCACTGCATGTGCCTTCCAAAGGACAGCTTCTTGAAATCTCGTGAACTTATTGCATTCTTGCCTCTAAGTTGGAGAGAAATGGATTTGAAGGGTGGATTATTAAGAATAAGGAATTTGTTGGATGGCCACAGCCAGAGGGTTGTGGTTAATGGCTCCCAGGTCCAGGCACGGGCCAGTGACAAGTGGTGCTCCACAGGAGTCCATCTTGGAACCCGTGCTCTTCAACATTTCTATCAGTGGCACAAACAGATCAATGCACCCTCAGCAAGTTTGGTGATGACACCAAGCTGAGCAGGGCAGGGTGACATACTGGAGGGAAGGGATGCCATCCAGATGGACCTGGACAAGCTTGAATGTGGTCCCATGCAAATCTAACCATGTTCGACAGGGCTCAGTGCATTGTGTTGAACTTGCAGTGGGGCAATCCCAGATATGTGCACAGAGTGGGAGAAAAACTCCTTGAGAACAGCCCTGCAGAGAAGAACCTGGGGGTCCTGGAGCGTGAAAAACTAGGCATGAGCCAGCAGTGTGTGCTCGCAGCCTAGAAGGCCAGCAGTGACCTGGGCTGCACCAGCAGAGGGCGGGCAGCAGGGGGGGGACTGTCTGCATCTGCTCTGCCCTCGTGAGGCCCCACGTGCAGTACTGTGAGCAGGCCTGGTGCCCCCAGCACAAGGAGGATGTGGGGCTGTTGGAGTGGGTCCAGAGGAGGCTGTGAAGATGCTCACAGGGCTGCAGCACCTCCCCTGTAAGAAGGGCTGAGGGAGCTGGGCTTGTTCAGCATGGAGAGATCTCCAGGGAGATTGCACTGCGGCCTCCCAGAACTTGAGGGGAGTTTATAAGCAGGAGTGGGACCAGCTTTTTACATGGTCTGATAGCGACTGTGTAAGGAGGCAAGGGAGAATGTTTTTAAACTAAAACAAGGGGGACTTAGATTAGATGTTAGGCTGAAATTCTTTACGCAGTAGGCGGTGAGGCCCTGGCGCTGCCCAGAGCTGTGTGCACCCATCCCTGGAGGTGCCCAAGGCTGGGCTGGGTGGCCCTAGGCAGGCTGAGCTGGGTGGGCAGGCAGCCCGCCACATGGCTGGGGCTGGGGGGGGCTTTAAGGTCTCTTCCAACCCAAGCCACGCTTTGACTTTATGATTCTATGGTATTTTCAACCTGCTAAGTATGAGCTGTCAACATGCTGACAGACGTTGCTCTTTCACTGTCCAACATTCAGAGCTGTGCTTAGAAAATCAGATTCTCAGAAGCGCTACACCTAGCAGTTATTGTGAAATCCTTCCTTCCAAAGACCAGCAGGTTTTCAGAAACACTTTCAGAACTGTGAATAATAAACAAGTATTTTTCCACTGTGAACATTACAGTATATATTTTTTTCTTATTTAGAAATCTATTATTCTCCACCATTACATATAAATGTCCCCCACAGCTTCCAATTCCATCATTTTAACAATCTGATCGAGAAGGCACTTCATATCCTTGCTCTATGATCTATATATTTATGTGGTTGTTGTTGTTGTTGCTTTCGTTTTTCTAGGGACTTGATATTACTAAATGCTGTATCTGTAAACGTAGGGAATTGTGTAAATATCAATCAGAGTTTATCTCTGAGATCTGAATCCATAAATCTTCAAATTCTGAGCAACTGGTCCACAAAAGCTTGTCTGGCCCTGGAGAAAATTTTGGTCCTTGCATCCAAAAGGTAAATAGAGATTCTGTTTCTGTGGCTTGCTACACCAGTTAGACCATTCTAACGGAAGGAATTACCTAAGGAAAAAAAGCCCAAGTACTTCCAATACCTTTTAACGGCTAAAGGGCTTTCTTCTTCCACTTCTAAAAGGAGCTTAAGAGCTATTATATAGTAGCTGTTCAGCATCCTCTTCTGGGCTCTGCTCCACAGAAAGTATCTGAGCAGGGGTTTGTCTGAATTATCTCAAGAGGAAAGAGAGGGCATCCTCTTTCATCTGCATCCATCTCTCTTCTCAATATTAATTTCCTCTCATCTCCTGTAGATAAGTATATGAGAAAGTTACTTGAAATTAGTTTGTGAAGGGGGAAGGAGGGGAAGATATGAGGAGGTGGCTGTTAGGTAGCTGCCAGCCAACTTTAAGCATCGTACATTGAGAAAAGGCTATGAATAACAATATTCAGAGATGCAGCAACTGCGTATGGAAATCAGATGGCCACCTAAACTGAAATCCACTGACTGGAGACAGCACCTCTCACACAGATGCACTGCATATTGAGCCGCCTCACAACTCTGTATTGTTCGAGAGCACGTGGAGTATCAGCATGCATGCTGTTATCAACAGAATAACCACCTATCTACCAGCATTTATGAACAGAATAACCACCTACCTACCAACATTTTACCCAATTAAGAGACTCCAACTGCAGCTGCTCGAAGTGTTTCTGAGCTGAACTGACAAAACCTTTAGCAGCAGTGCAATCACAGTCTTTTTGTACCCTTTGCATACTCTGTTAAGCTTTTACAAACACTTACCGTCCGTCACTCTGAGAACTGTGGCAATTAATCTCACCTGCCAGAGAACTACGACTATCAACTGCATTCACCTCAGCTCTGATTTACCCCTCTCTCACCTGTGTGCCGGAGTGTCTCCTGAAGTGGAAAGCAGTCAGAAGCAGTAATGCCTGGTGCTGCTGTGCCTGCGTGAAGTGTCTTGAATTTCACTTTGTTGTGGAATGCTTTATTACATCTTCTTTCTATCTTTCTGAGTGACTCCAGCTGTATGCAACTCTCGGTCTCTGAAAAGCCACATTCATCAGATAAAAAATCAGAAGAAAGCTTTTTCCTCTTTTTCTTCATTTTATAAGTGTTTCTTTCCTCTTCCCTGAAATGTCTCTCACTTTTCTGTCCTTTATGTCTTAATTCACTGCTAGATCTCTTGCATGACTTTTCAAGGTTATGATCACACTGCCTAGCCAAGCCCTCATGGGCAGAACTAGAACAGAAGTTGCATTTGCTGCTTTCCTTTGTTTGACCTTCCAGAGTAACATTCTTGAAATAAACCAGTAATTTTCTCTCTTTCTCTCTTGCAGGCAAGCACCCTCTGTTGCAATTGCTGTCAATTTGTTCACTCCTTTCTGCACTCTTCATTGCACCGCTGCATGCCTCACTGAAGTACTCAGAATCACTGATCTCTTCCAACAAGTCCTGTAACTGGTAAGATCTACAAGTTTCGTACTGTTCGGTAACTTCATTTCTACCATCTTCTTGTTCAAATTCCTCATCACGAGCAGCAGCAGTGCAATCCAAAGAACGATTTGGTTCAGCATGTGATAAGTAATCAACAGTGAGTGTGTCATTCCTCTGTATTTGCAGCTTCCTTGCAAGCCTATCTGCACAGGCCTTATTTTTCAACACTGTGTCTGTTGATTCCAATTCCCCAGCAGTGATCACTAGTCTACAGTTATCATCACCAACGCAATTTCTGCTGTTGAGATTTTGTACAAGACTCACTTCTCTGAAGTGCCGACCCTGCCTGTTACACAAGCTGATGTGAAAACCACTGTCATCATCACACACCACCCTCTTCCACCAGGATTTGTTTGCAGAGTTTTTTGTCCCTAGGGAAACACGTTCATAGCTTGGTGTCTGATAGTAGTTTAGTAAATAATGAATGAATTCATCGGTCTCATAAACCTTTTGCTTTCTGTAACCATCTTCAGACCCCGTCTGTGGGTGAACCACGTTCAGTGTTTGGCAGTCCCTTCCATCTAGAGATTCAATGACCTTGCAGTCTTGAGTCACTGTGATCAGTAAAGATCCACAGCCAAAGGAGCTGTATGCATCTCTGCCAGTCCATCTGCCAGAACTCAGAGCTGCAGCGGGGTCATTTAAAATTGTCTTGACTATATGAGAAGTAGATGCACAGAAGGCAGTCAAATCTCCTTCCTCACAACATAAGCTGCTACTTTTTTGGGTTAACTGACACTGAAGCTCTTCCTTGTGTTCCAAATCTTTGTGCATAAGACAACAGGAGTTAATCTGTTTCTGATGTATGGCTTTTAATGCTGCTTCAGAAAAGGAATCATTCTTCCTTACGCCCGGTGAAGGATCCACTTTCTGACTTGCCAACTGCACAACATCCTTCAAATGAAAATTGGGAAAACGATTACGTACGTTTATTGAGCACAGAGAACTATAAAGACTGCAAGTTGCAAACTCATAAATATGCAGTTCTACATTCAGAAAATTATAAAGGAGATAAATTTAGCTTAATTCAGAGCTTGATCACACAGTCTCACTACTCCTAGCCCAGAACTAAAGCTGCCTCTTTGTCTCAGAACAGGGCATTCTAAAGTAACTAAGACAGTTGTCCTTCCAACTAATTCCTCTACCTCCCTACAATTGCTTCAGACAACATTTATTGTTTGATTACTGCATCACAACCAGTGTTGTTTACAATAGAAAAATTGCTAGATTTTTGTAGATAAGAATATTTTATTTAGACTAATTATTTTGCTGTACACAATTCTAATGGGTCCAAATACAACCAATCTAATGCTTCCCATGTGTTGAAACCAAGAAAATAAACATTTAAGTCATCAAATTCACACAAGGGCTGCTCCAAAAGTAATGCCTCCTGTGTTATCCTGTTGGCCCACAAAATCAGAGGAGGATTCTGGTGGTATGGCAGTAGAGGCTGAACCTTCCCACCAATGTCCTGTTACAGTGCGTGGCCGTGTGACAGATGGCAGCAGAGACAGAACACTGACATGGCAGTGTGGATAAAGCAATGGGGTGGAACTGAATTCCTCCACGCAGAAAAAAATGGGACCTACTGACATTCATCAAGGCTTGGTGAACACTGATGGAGTGTTCAATAGATGTCAGTGTTCAATAGATGTCAGTGCAGTGAGGGCTGGGTGGTGCATTTCAGCAGTGGCGACAGCGAAATGAAAGACAAACCATGTTCTGGATGGCCATGCACAGCTGTCACACCACGAAATAACATCTTGATCAGCTCATCTGCATGAATCAGGTCATGTTGAAAATCAGTGATACGCAGCTGAAAATCTGCTCCATAAAATAGTGTCATCGTGCTCTTTCTGTCTGTCGTAGCTTTCATGGAAATAAACAGGAGGCATTACTTTCTGAGCAACCTATGTAATTAATGCCAACATCAGGTGCTGTGGAGCCCTAAAATTCACACAGAATGGCAATTAACTCTCAGTGAATGGTGGACCTTTAAAAATCTTAAACGTTGAAAAATCGACTTGTTAAAAGCTGCGAGCTAATTTTTATGTAGCAAATGATGTAGAAAATGTCACGTTTGCACCCCGAAGATTTCAAACTTTTTCACCCCAAAGCACTAAAATAAGCCTCCAAACATGAATTTCTGTGTATGACACTGCAGTGTGTACCACTCCTCTGCTGACTTTCTCAAGATATTGTCTAAGTCAATCAAATAAAACTTACAGCTTAGTGTTGGCCACAACACAGAAGCTATTGGAAATGAAATCAGCATAATCCATATGGACTTAATTCTTTCACTTGCAGACATGAGGCCAAACATCAATTTTACATTCCCACCCTTAATTTCCCTGTTTGCAGTGTTGGATCAAGTCTAATAAGAGTTGATGCAGTCCTTCCAGCCCTATCTTGACAGAATAATGACAAGGCTTCAAACAATTATCCAAGTTTCTGAGTAGAATCACACCACCTTTGCTCCAAGGACAAACTGTCACAAGATTTAGACCTCAGGCCTTCTCAGTGTTCAGTCACTCCTAAGACATTCTTTCAAACAGCAATAAGACACCAAACGTCTACCAAATTATTCAAGCTCTAACAAACATCCTTCAAATTGTAAAATACGTTTTAAAGTATTCTTACTTTCACATGGTTTAACAGCACTGTAAGCAGTCTGACAGACTCCGCTCTTCTCTGAGCTAGCAGGGATTTCCTTTCTTCCCATTCAGGCACATTCTCTGGCCACTGCTGTTCTTCAGCTGGTACTTTGTGCTGCTTTTGGGGATGCTTTTCATCTCCATCTATCTGCCTCTCCTCTCTTCTTGAGCTTAGCTTTCTTTTTTCTCTCTTGAACTTTTTGTTCATCATCACGTTTTTTTCTAGGTAATTATCAATATGGGACAATTTAGATGACGCTTGTTTTACACTTGGAGTCCTGGGAAATTGGATGTCAGACTTTGAACTGCTAATAATAAGCAACCTGTCACCAAGAACCCACATTTGACTAATAAGAAATGATGGTTGTTACAATAATAACATGTTTAAAGAAACAACACATGTTGATGACATGCGTCCAACCGATGCACACATTTAGAACACAGCGGTTCTGCATTTACCTCTTCTGATGGTCTGTATTCTAGGGTTTTCTTTATACACACTGCCATGAAGACAGACTCACATTATCTTTTGTCTCCAAGGACACAATCAGAGACAGAGCATATGGATCTAATTCTTACCTTAACAAAGCTCCCCTACAGATTAGCATGAGGGTGACATTAAGAGTTACAAGACCACTTCCATTGTTATAAAAATTCAATGATTCAATGACCAATCAAAATTCAAGATGAAGCTGCCACTGCTTTTTTGAAACCTTGTCCTGTAGAAAACAGATCTACTAAACAACCAACATGATGTGATACAGAAAACTCCAGAAAACTCAAGGAACAAAGTGTTTACACAAGTATTTAAAATTCCTATCTTTAAAGCATTTGAGTAAGAAGATATTCAATTAAAAACAGAAGCGTAGCAACGTTTTCAGAGATCCAACATTTTATACACTATGTTAGAATCACAGAATCATGTGAGTTAGAAGGGACCTTCAAAGGCCTCTGGTCCAACCCCTCTGCAGTGAGTGGGGACACCTACAGCTTCACCAGGTGCTCAGAGCCCCATCCAACCTGACCAGGTTCTATTTGTGCCACAGAACTGCCACAGCATTCTAAAATTCAGGGTGTCTTTTTGTTTTTGTTGGTTTTCTTTTCTTTGCTTTTCTTTAGACATGGAGGTGTGTAACATGGTTAATTACCAGTGACAATGTAGGATGCAATACAAGCAGACTAGCCACAGCATCTAAGCTTTTATATACTACTGTTACTCACATACAAAATTCAAAACCACTGCCCTAAAGATAACAATGAAAAGAAAAACCAACAAGTAAAAAAGGGTGGAAGGAAAGGCAGAAAAACAAGGCTCATTCCTAGCTTTGAACCTTACAGTCAAGTGGGAGGCACCTAGAAGTGTCTGTCACATTAACTCTACTTCAAACCACAAAGACATTGATTTGTGATGCTGCAGCATAGAATAATAGAAGTAAATATAAAAACAATACAAGAAAACAACCTCATGCAGAATCTTAAGCTTTGGTGCAATCTGAGGGCAACAGCTCTCAGATTTCACTCCAGGTCTACAGAAGCATAGAATGGTCAAGTCTGAAAGGACCTCAGAATGTCTCTACTCCAACCACTCTCTCGTAACAGACTCCATCTGATGCCCTACACACTGAGTTAGGTTGCTTCTCTTTCCCACAGTAACACAAATTAAAAACTATAAGGCACTGGTTCGAGTTCTTGGATTCCTGTTTCCTCAAAGCCTGGGTTTTTACAGTTGACAACTCCCTTCTTGGATGCCACTTGGTATGAAATAGTGTAACAAATCTGAAGAGACAGCTGATGGACATTCTCTAAAGTACAGCCTCACCTTTCAACCCTCTTCTCTTTTTCCCTCCCCCTTTTTTTTTTTCTCTTTCCTTTTTTTCAACTCCTGTTCTTGCAGCTTTAGTCTTTCCAGGCTTCTCTTTATGAATCCTTCCCTTAAGTGTCTGGTTGTATCAGAAGTCACCTGTCACAGAAGAAACAGAAGCAGACTTACCAGTCCAGTTTGCCATCGGTACAAACGCTGACAACCTACTACGTAAGGGAGACATCCTAGGTAATACTACATGCTGCTGCACTTGAGAATTACTTTCTCTACTCTGGAAATACTGGAATGCCTTCTGAAGTCAACACCATAAGATGTCAGCCAAGCTCAAACATCTGATCCTAAATGTCCCCTGCTGTGACACCAGGGGTTCACAAGCTGACAAGCTCTGGCCAAACCTGTTTTTGCAAGCTGTTCTGGAGACTCAAAGTTCAGCATGTTCAGTGAGAAGCTCCAAGCTGTACAGTTCATGCAGTTCTGACAAAATCACTTCACTTACACTCTGAGCAACATCTCTGGGATCAAATGCTTGTTTACCCAGTAAGAAAGTATGAATCCTACTAATGTGCACTGTGTTTTATTAGCTTCAAATGCCCAAATGTGAGCACATTAAAAGAAAACATTCAAGCATGCTGCATCAAGGTGTACCTATTCTAGCAAAGTAAGTGATGTGAGGTATTATTTCCAGCATAGGGACAAAGTTTGGGGTTCAAGTTTAAATTTTCTGCTGGAAAAAAACCACCAAAACAGGCCTAACTGTGATCAGTCATGATAGACATAAGTTACCGGGCTGCTGAAATGAAGCCTGCAGACTGCAAACTCTCCTATAATGTCACCCTAAGCATAGCACTTAAGTAGATTTATCCCTCAAAACACTTAAGCAAAAAGGTACTAAGAAGAGAAAGGCTGGCAGCCTTTACTAGTCTTGATCCAAGCACCCAAGCTAAGGCAGCTGTTGCCTCATGCTAAACACTGAGACCCCAAGCATCTTTCAGAGCATCTCTCCAGCTCCTGAGCTCATCTCCCAGTTTGAGTGACACCCACACTGTCAGTATTTACAACTTTTAGCCTGCCCACAACTATTTTTCAGAGAATTGAGATACCAATTTTAAAGGACTTCAGTTCAGATGTATTGAGTTCATATCTCTGCTGCAAATAGACCAATTCCAAGTTTTTCCCTTCACACACTTAAGTGCCCCCGAAGTTTATGAAGAGTTTTCAACCGGTTTGCAAAGATCTCTCAGTCCTAGCCTTAAAGCAAAAGCACAAAAGTTAGCAAACCGAAAATGAGTTCAGCCCCAGAAATGCATTTCCCATCGTGTAATTGTGTGTGAAGCACACTGTTAGCTACCGAGGTTTTGCTGCTCTGCAGTGTGGCCTTTTGGAATCAGCCCTAACACACCAACATGCTGTTATCTTTAGGCTTTGATTCTTCCAGGCTCACAAGGAATCTGACATTCAATGTCATTACCAAATCAGCATTTCCTTTTAACAACTCTGCTATGCTCGTAACATCAGGAACACCTTTGCTCTTGCACTGTTGTTTATTATGATAACTGCAGACTCAAGTGCCCCTTGCTACCTGCATGCCTTTCTTCTGTGATCATATATTCTGATAATGTAATACTTGGAAAAAAAAAACAACAAGCGTTACTTAAATGTATTAAAAGCAACAAAGATAATGACCTGGGACCCTGAGAGTCTGTGGCCAACTCTGCTGACAAATTCCTGTGAAACCCAATACATCCCTATCGCTCAGGACCTTAAAATAATACAACATTGTAGTACAAATTCCAACTAACTGGGATTGTAATAGACCACCAGTTCACTGCATTCCATTTTAGTTGTACACAGAGACAAGCACAAAACCTGGCCATCACTGTGGACTCTTCCAGGAAGAGACTTAGTCTTGATTTGAAAACACCAGGCTACAAAAATCTGCCACTTTCCAAGGGACATTTGTTCCATTTCTTACTCATCCACCACAGAGATGGAAGCCATTTGCAGCTACTGATTTTTTGTAAGCCTTTCTCTCCAAAGTATCAGCATCAGGGTCTTTTTCATTTTTTGTTTTCTTTTCCCCTTACATGGTATAATTCAGGGGTCTGTCAATAATCTTCTATAAAAAAAACTTAGAGCTCTCTAAGATCTCACACCTCTCACCATGGGGCAATTTTTCCAACCTCTGAGCAACTCACTGTACTGTTCCACCAGTCTCCAACTTAAACTGTATGACTCCCCAACCTGCACACAATATTGATTTGGTCAGTGCCATACACCCAGAACAATGCCAGTCCTTTATGCCTACCTGCTATCACCACTGAAATTCACCCGCCACGATACTGCAGTGGAAACCCCAGGTATTGCTGATGTATTATAATAACCCTTTCGCACCCTCAAAGAAAACCACAAGGATACATCAGCAACTCTAAAACTGATTAGGTATCTACGCTGTTCTTTTCACATTAACTTAACTACCTTTGAACACCCTAAAATGTGTCACGTCAGTTCATCCTCCAAACAGAATCAGCCTTTAGGGAAACATTAACAGCCTGGCAATATTTAATTTGAAACACTCTTAGTCGGTATGAGTGAAGTACAAATCGTAAGAATGATTTCAGTCGAAGACAGCCCTGAGATGTGCTCAGAGGACTGCTATCCTCAGCAGCTCTTACCAGCCCGTCTCCCAGCCGGCTGCTTGCTCCGGGCCCTGGGCCGTCACAACTGTTTTTGCGACAACGCCATCAGCTGGGCAAGGGATCTAGCTTGGGGGAAAGAGAAAAGGGTGTTTGGCAGGTCGCTTTTCAGACAGCTCCTGCTCTTGTTACAGCACCACTTCATGAGCAGTCCAGCTGAAGGAGAGCGTGAGGCAGGGGAAATACCTTAATTCTGCAAAGGCAGATAAAAACAAATCCTACCAGCAACGTGGCAAGAGGACGTGCTGATCTGTAGCAGCAGCACGGAAACGCATTTACCGGTCACTTGGTGAAGTTTCAACAAGAGATTGAAACGCAGACGGCTTTTCAATAGGCACAGCCGGTTTACCCGCTCGCCCCGCACAAGACCAAGCGAGGCGCAGGGCTGACCAGAAGCACCGCTTGCCGCTGCGGTACCGCACGCACTCCCTGCGGAAGGAGCGCTTTAAACGCGCCTGGCGCGCTCGATGCCGGGAGCTGTAAGGCCGGGACGAGACGAACCCGAACCGCCCCCGCCACGAACGCGCCGGCGGTAAGGCCGCAGCCCCGCCCGGCAGGACGCGCTGTACGTCCCAGCGGGCCGGCAGGCAGCGCCCGCCCCAGCGCCGAGGCCGCCCGCTCCGCACCCACCTCTCCGCCCGCTCCGCCGTTCCGCGGGGCCGGAGCGGGGCGAGCCCGGCCCGTGCCGCGGCCCGGCGGCGTCGCCCCTTAGCGCGGAGCGGCCACCCCGTCTCGCCGAGGCACGCTCGGCCCGGCCGGCGGGGAGCCCCGACGGCGAGCTCGGGGAACGCGCCCGGCCCCGCGGCCCCGCCGAGCCCAGG